AGACCACCCCAACCCCTCCCACCCTGGAGCCACGCCCATTCTGGAGCCACGCCCCCATTTGACCCCTCCCATCCTTAGCCCTGTCCATTGTACGGAGCCACACCCAATCAGAAGCCACGCCCCCGTTGACCACTCCCATCCTAAGCTCCGCCCACGTCCCCCAAGCCACGCGCACTGGAGGCTCCACCCCCATGGGCCCCTCCCACCGCAAGCCTCGCCCTCATTGGACCACGCCCCCTCTCGTGATGGGGGCGTGGTTTCTGGGCGAGGGGGCGGGGCCTCACCTTGCCCACCCCGGTGGGGGCGGGGCTGAGCGTCACCATCATGGGGAAGGTCGGGGCTGTGAGCTGGGGGGAGGGGCAGTAACATCAGTGACCCCCAAGTGACCCCCAAGTGACACCAGTGACCCCTAAGTGACCCCAGTGACCCCCAAGTGACACCAGTGACCCCCAAGTGACCCCCAAGTGACCCCCAAGTGACACCAGTAACACCAGTGACCCCCAAGTGACCCCCTAAGTGACCCCCAAGTGACCCCCAAGTGACCCCCAAGTGACCCCCAAGTGACACCAGTAACACCAGTGACCCCCAAGTGACCCCCTAAGTGACCCCCAAGTGACCCCCAAGTGACCCCCAAGTGACCCCTAAGTGACACCAGTAACACCAGTGACCCCCAAGTGACCCCCTAAGTGACCCCCCAGTGACCCCCCAGTGACACCAGTGACCCCCAAGTGACCCCCAAGTGACACCAGTGACCCCCAAGTGACCCCCCAGTGACACCAGTGACCCCCCAGTGACACCAGTGACCCCCAAGTGACCCCCAGTGACACCAGTGACCCCCAAGTAACCCCCAAGTGACCCCCAAGTGACACCAGTAACACCAGTGACCCCCAAGTGACACCAGTAACACCAGTGACCCCCAAGTGACCCCCTAAGTGACCCCCAAGTGACCCCCAGTGACACCAGTGACCCCCAAGTGACCCCCAAATGACCCCCAAGTGACACCAGTGACCCCCAAGTGACCCCCAAGTGACACCAGTGACCCCCAAGTGACCCCCAAGTGACCCCCAAGTGACACCAGTGACCCCCAAGTGACCCCCAAGTGACACCCAAGTGACACCAGTAACACCAGTGACCCCCAAGTGACCCCCAAGTGACGCCAGTAACACCAGTGACCCCCCCAGTCCCTCCCAGTCCTCCCCAGTCCCCCCCAGTCCCTCCCAGTCCCCCCCAGGTCCCTCCCAATGCCCCTTTAATCCCCCCCAGTCCCCTCCCAGTCCCTCCCAGTCCCCCCCAGTCCCCTCCCAGTCCCCCCCAGTTCCCCCCAGTCCCTCCCAGTCCCCCCCAGTCCCCCCCAGTCCCCTCCCAGTGCCCCCCAGTGCTCACCAGTCCCCGGGGCCGGTTGCAGAAGCGCTGTGGGGCCAAGGGAAAGGCCTCCGGGCCCAGTTCCCGCTGCAGCCGCGCCAACTGGGCAAACTGGGCAGCACTGGGAGCGTCAGCGGGGGGGGGCAAGAGCCCTGCCCAGGGCCCCCCAGCATCCGCCCCAGGCCCTCCTACTCCATCCCAGTTACCTCCCAGTCCTCCCACTCCATCCCAGTTACCTCCCAGTTATCTCCCAGTCCATCCCAGTTACCCACCAGTTACCTCCCAGTTACCCCCAAGTCCATCCCAGTCCATCCCAGTTACCTCCCAGTCCTCCCACTCCATCCAAGTTACCTCCCAGTTACCTCCCAGTCCATCCCAGTTACCTCCCAGTTACCCCCCAGTCCATCCCAGTAACCCCATTCCCCTCCCAGTGCCCCCCTTTCCCATTCCAGCATCCCCATTGCCCCCCAGCATCCATCCCAGTCCCTCCCAGTTACCTCCCAGTCCATCCCAGTAACCCCATTCCCCTCCCAGTGTCCCCCAATCCCATTCCAGTGCCCCCCAATCCCGTTCCAGTGCCCCCCAATCCCATTCTAGCATCCCCATTGCCCCCCAGCATCCACCCCAGTCCCTCCCAGTTACCCCCCCCAGGCCATCCCAGTCCATCCCAGTAACCCCATTCCCCTCCCAGTGCCCCCCAATCCCATTCCAGCATCCCCATTGCCCCCCAGCGTCCACCCCAGTCCCTCCCAGTTACCTCCCAGTTACCCCCCAGTCCACCCCAGTAACCCCATTCCCCTCCCAGTGCCCCCCAATCCCTTTCCAGTGCCCCCCAATCCCCTCCCAGTTACCCCCCAGTGCCCCCCCAGTGCCCCCCCCCCCAAACGCACCAGGCAGGGGGGATGGGCGAACGCGTAGAGCGCCGGGAGGGGGTCGGTGCTGGGGACCCCCCCCAGGTGCAGCCCCAGCAGCAGCCGCCGGGGGGCGCCCGCGGACCCCCCCTCCGGCCGCTCCCGAACCAGCACGAAGTCGGGGCGCAGCCGGCTATTGGGGGGGGGGGAGGGGGGGGATGAGGGGGGGATGGGGGGGGCACAACCCCCTCCAACCCCCCCATATGGAACAGGGCCAAAAGTCACCCCCTGCACCCCAAAACCGCCTCTTTTCACCCCAAAACCGCCTCTTTTCACCCCAAAACCGCCTCTTTTCACCCCAAAACCGCCTCTTTTTACCCCAAAATCACACCCTGCACCCCAAAACCGCCTATTTTCACCCCAAAATCACCCCCTGCACCCCAAAACCGCCTCTTTTCACCCCAAAACCGCCTCTTTTCACACCAAAACCGCCTCTTTTTACCCCCAAATCACCCCCTACACCCCAAAACCGCCTCTTTTCACCCCAAAATCACCCCCTGCACCCCAAAACCGCCTCTTTTCACCCCAAACCCGCCACTTTTCACCCCAAAACCGCCTCTTTTTACCCCAAAACCGCCTCTTTTCACCCCAAAATCACCCCCTGCACCCCAAAACCGCCTCTTTTCACCCCAAAACCGCCTCTTTTCACCCCAAAATCACCCCCTGCACCCCAAAACCGCTTCTTTTCACCCCCAAACCGCCTCTTTTCACCCCAAAATCGCCCCCTGCACCCCAAAATCGCCTCTTTTCAACTCAAAACCTCCTCTTTCCACCCCAAAACCGCCTCTTTTTACCCAAAAATCACACCCTGCACCCCAAAACCGCTTCTTTTCACCCCCAAACCGCCTCTTTTCACCCCAAAACTGCCTCTTTTCACACGAAAGTCACCCCCTGCACCCCAAAACCGCCTCTTTTCACCCTAAAACTGCCTCTTTTCACCCCAAAACCGCGTCTTTTCACCCCAAAATCACCCCCTGCACCCCAAAACCGCCTCTTTTCACCCCAACACCGCCTCTTTTCAACCCAAAATCACCCCCTGCACCCCAAAACTGCCTCTTTTCACCCCAAAACCGCCTCTTTTCACACCAAAACTGCCTCTTTTCACCCCAAAACCGCCTCTTTTTACCCCAAAATCACCCTTTAGCACACCAAAATCGCCTCTTTTCACCCCCAAAATCCGCCCTGCACCCCAAAATCGCCTCTTTTCACCCCAAAACCGCCTCTTTTCACCCCAAAACTGCCTCTTTTCACACCAAAACCGCCTCTTTTCACCCCAAAATCACCCCTGCACCCCAAAACCGCCTCTTTTCACCCCAAAACCGCCTCTTTTCACCCCAACACCGCCTCTTTTCAACCCGAAACTGCCTCTTTTCACCCCAAAATCACCCCCTGCACCCCAAAACTGCCTCTTTTCACCCCAAAACCGCCTCTTTTCACCCCAAAACTGACTCTGTTCACACCAAAACTGCCTCTTTTCACCCCAAAACCGCTTTTCACCCCAAAATCACCCCCTGCACCCCAAAACCGCCTCTTTTCACCCCAAAACCGCCTCTTTTCACCCCAAAATCACCCCCTGCACCCCAAAACCGCCTCTTTTCACCCCAAAACTGCCTTTCACCCAAAAATCACCCCTGCACCCCAAAACTGTCCTTTTTTCCCCAAAATCACCCCCTGCACCCCAAAACTGCCTCTTTTCACCCCAAAATCAACCCTGCATTCCAAACCCCCTCTTTTGCACCCCAAAACCCTCCCTTGCACCCCAACACCCCCCTCCTGCACCCCAAATCACCCCCTTGCACCCCAAAATCACCTTTTTGCACCCCCAAATTACCCTTTTCCAACCCAAAACCCCCCTTTTGCAACCCAAAATCACCCAATCCCCCCTTTTGCACCCAAAACCCCTCCCATTTGCACCCCAAAATCTCCCTCTTGCACCCCAAATCACCCCCTTGCCCCCCAAAATCCTCCTCTGGCCCCCCAAAATCACCTTTTTGCACCCCCAAATTACCCTTTTCCCACCCAAAACCTTCCTTTTGCACCCCAAAATCACCCCATGCACCCCAAAACCCCCTCCTGCACCCCAAATCACCCCCTTGCACCCCAAAATCCTCCTCTGGCACCCCAAAATCACCTTTTTGCACCCCCAAATTACCCTTTTCCCACCCAAAACCCCCCTTTTGCACCCCAAAATCACCCAATCCCCCCTTTTGCACCCCAAAACCCCTCCCATTTGCACCCCAAAATCTCCCTCTTGCACCCCAAATCACCCCCTTGCACCCCAAAATCCTCCTCTGGCACCCCAAAATCACCTTTTTGCACCCCCAAATTACCCTTTTCCCACCCAAAACCCCCCTTTTGCACCCCAAAATCACCCCATGAACCCCAAAACCCCCTCCTGCACCCCAATATCACCCCCCTGCACCCCAAAATCTATGCCTGGACCCCCCCCTTCCCCTTTCGCCCCCCCCCAAATCTCACCCCCAACCCCTGACCCCCCAAATCCGGCCCTGAACCCCCAAATTCCCACTTTTTCACCCCAAAACCCCATCCCCCCCCTCATTGCCCCCCCCAAAACTGACCCCGAACCCCCCCAAATCCCTGCCCCACCCCCAAAAAAGACCACCCCAAAACCCCCCTTTTTCACCCCAAAATGCCCCCCCCCCAAACCCAAATTCAGCCCCCAAACCAAGGGGGGGGGCACCCCAAAAGTGGGGGTCGCCCCATAGAGGGGGTCCCCCAAAACCCACCGGGCCCCCCCCCGGGGGGTGTCGATGGTGACGCTGAGGGCGCCATGGGTCGAGGCTACCAAGGAGAGCTCCGAGAACTGCGCCTATGGGGGGACCCCAAAGTCAAGGGGGGGGACCCCAAAATCAATGGGGGGGAACCCAAAGTCAATGGGGGGGACCCCAAAGTCAATGGGGGGGAGTCCAAATTCTATGGGGGGGAGCCCGAAATCAATGGGGGGGAGCCCAAAGTCAATGGGGGGGAGCCCAAAATCAATGGGGGGGAGCCCAAAGTCAATGGGGGGACCCCAAAGTCAATTGGGGGGACCCCAAAGTCAATGGGGGGACCCCAAAATCAATGGGGGGGAGCCCGAAATCAATGGGAGGAGACCCCAAAGTCAATGTGGGGGAGCCCAAAATCAACGGGGGGAGCCCAAAGTCAATGGGGGAGCCTGAAATCAATGGGGGGGGGCCGAAATCAATGGGGGGGACCCCAAAGTCAATGGGGGGAGCCCAAAGTCAATGGGGGGGACCCCAAAGTCAATGGGGGGGACCCCAAAGTCAATGGGGGGACCCCAAAATCAATGCGGGGGAGACCAAAATCAATGGGGGGACCCCAAATTCTATGGGTGGGAGGCCAAAATCAATGGGGGGGACCCCAAGATCAATGGGGGGGACCCCAAAATCAATGGGGGGGACCCCAAAGTCAATGGGGGGGAGTCCAAATTCTATGGGGGGGAGCCCGAAATCAATGGAGGGACCCCAAAGTCAATGGGGGGGACCCCAAAGTCAATGGGGGGACCCCAAAATCAATGGGGGGGACCCCGAAATCAATGGGGGGGACCCCAAAGTCAATGGGGGGACCCCAAAATCAATGGGGGGGAGTCCAAATTCTATGGGGGGGAGCCCGAAATCAATGGAGGGACCCCAAAGTCAATGGGGGGACCCCAAAATCAAGGGGGGGACCCCAAAGTCAATGGGGGGGAGCCCAAAGTCAATGGGGGGACCCCAAAGTCAATGGGGGGGACCCCAAATTCTATGGGGGGGAGGCCAAAATCAATGGGGGGGACCCCAAAGTCAATGGGGGGGACCCCAAATTCTATGGGTGGGAGACCAAAATCAATGGGGGGGAGCCCGAAATCAATGGGGGGAGACCCCAAAATCAATGGGGGGAGCCCGAAATCAATGGGGGGACCCCAAAATCAATGGGGGGACCCCAAATTCTATGGGTGGGAGGCCAAAATCAATGGGGGGACCCCAAAATCAATGGGGGGGAGCCCAAAGTCAATGGGGGGGACCCCAAAATCAATGGGGGGAGCCCGAAATCAATGGGGGGGACCCCAAATTCTCGGGGGGGGCACACATTCTATGGGGGGACCCCAATATCAATGAGGGAACCCCAAAATCAATGGGGGGGACCCCAAAATCAAGGGGGGAGACCCCAAATCCCCCCCATAGGATCCTTTGACCCCAACCCCTCAAATCCAGGTGTCAGGTTCTAAAGGGGGACCCATAGATCCTAAAGGAGGGGGGGGGTCCCCCAAACTTGGGGGGAGGGGGGGGGGCCCCCCCAATCCTTACCTGCTCCACCCTCAGCTCCACATCCCCATGCACGGATTTACCCTTGAAGAGCTTCACCCTGGCAATGAAAGGGGGGGGAACCCCAAAATAGGAGCCCCTCCCCCCCCAAAAGGGATGCCCCTCCCCCCCCCCCCGAAATGGACCCATCCCCCCCCCCCCAAATCTGAGCCCTGCCCCTCCCCCCCCCAAAGGTTCACAAAGGGGGGGCAGGGGGGTGTTGGGGTGCCCAAAGGGGGGTTTGGGGGTGCCCAAAGTGGGGGGTTGGGGGTCCCAAGGTGGGGCGGGGGATTTGGGGGTCTCAATGGGGAGGTTGGGGGTGTCCAAGGGGGGGATTTTTGGGGTCTCAATGGGGGGGATTTGGGGGTCCCTGAAAGGGGAGGTTGGGGGTCCAAAGGGGGGGGGAGATTTGGGGGTCTCAATGGGGGGGGGGTGTGCCCAAAGGGGGGGGATTTGGGGGTCCGAAGGGGGGGGGGGGGATTTGGGGGTCTCAATGGGGGGGGTTGGGGGTGCTCAAAGGGGGGATTTGGGGGTGCCTAAGGGGGGGTTGGGAATCCCAAGGGGGGGGGGATTTGGGGGTCTCAATGGGGGGGGTTGGGGGTGCTCAAAGGGGGGATTTGGGGGTGCCTAAGGGGGGGTTGGGGCTCCCTGAAGGGGGGGGTTGGGGGTCCCAAAGGGGGGGGGGGATTTGGGGGTCTCAATGGGGGCATTGGGGGTCCCTAACGGAGGGATTTGGGGGTCCCTGGGAGGACTTTGGGGGTCCCAATGGGGAGGGCATTGGGGGTCTCAAAAGAGGGGGATTTGGGGGTCCTCAATGGGGATCTTTGGGGGTCCCAATGGGAGGGGGTGTTGTGGGGGCCCAAAGGGGGGGATTTTGGGGTCCCTGAAGGGGGGATTTGGGGGGACCCAATGGGGGGGCATTGGGGGTCTCAAAAGGGGGGGATTTGGGGGTGCCCAATGGGGGGGATTTGGGGGTCTCCAAAGGGGGGGATTTGGGGGTCCCAAAGGGGGCATTTGGGGGTGCCAAAGGGGGGGTTTGGGGGTGCCTGGGGGGGATTTGGGGGTCGCCAAGGGGGGTTTGGGGGGTCCCAAAGGGGGGGGCATTGGGGGTCTCCAAAGGGGGGGGATTTGGGGGTGCCCAATGGGGGATTTGGGGGTCCTCAAGGTGGGGTTTGGGGGTGCCCAAGGGAGGGGGTTGTTGGGGGTCCCCAAAGGGGGGATTTAGGGGTCCCCAAGGGGGGGATTTGGGGGTCCCAAAGTGGGCATTTGGGGGTGCCAAAGGGGGGGTTTGGGGGTGCCCAAGGGGGGGATTTAGGGGTGCTCAAGGTGGGATTTGGGGGTCCCCAAGGGGGGTTGGGGGGTCCCAAGGGGGGAGGCATTGGGGGTGCCAAAGGGGGGGATTTAGGGGTGCCCAAGGGAGGGATTTAGGGGTGCCCAAAGGGGGGGGGGATTTGGGGGTCTCCAAGGGGGGGGATTTGGGGGGTCCCAATGGGGGGGGCATTGGGGGTGCCAAAGGGGGGGGGATTTGGGGGTCCCCAAGTGGGTTTCGGGGGTCCCAATGGGGGGGCATTTGGGGTGCCAAAGGGGGGGGGATTTGGGGGTCCCCAAGGGGGGTTTCGGGGGTCCCAATGGGGGTGGCATTGGGGGTGCCAAGGGGGGGGTTTGGGGGTGCCCAAAGGGGGGGGTTGGGGGAGTCCAAAAGGGGGGATTTGGGGGCGCCCAAGGTGGGGTTTGGGGCGTGCCCAAAGGGGGGGGATTTGGGGGTCCCCAAGTGGGTTTTGGGGGGTCCCAATGGGGGGGGCATTGGGGGTGCCCAAAGGGGGGGATTTGGGGGTGCCCAAAGGGGGGGGGATTTGGGGGTCTCCAAGGTGGGGTGTTTGGGGGTGCCCAAAGGGGGGGGTTGTTTGGGGGTCCCCCCCATACATACCAGTCGGTGCTGGGGGGGGCGATGACGAGCAGCAGCGGGGGAGGGGGTCTCCCTGCCCCTCCCCCACCCCCAAGCCCCGCCCCCACCCCAGGGGGATCCCCCCCTCCCCCCCCCGCCAGGAAGTTCCCATCCGAGAGCCGCCGCCGGAGGTATTCCATCCCCTATGGGGCCTATGGGGCCTATGGGGGCTATGGGGGCTATGGGGCCTATGGGGGCTATAGGGCCTATGGGGCCTATAGGGGCTATGGGGGCTATAGGGGATATGTGGGGCTATGGGGGGCTATGGGGGCTATGGGGGGCTATAGGGGCTATGGGGCCTATAGGGCCTATGGGGGCTATAGGGGCTATGGGGGGCTATAGGGCCTATGGGGGCTATAGGGGGAGATAGCACCTATAGGGGGTCAGAGCTATGGAGGGCGGGGTCTATGGGGGGGGGCAGGGCTATAGGGTTAGGGGCACCCTATAGGGGTCGAGTTCACCCTAGAGATGCCTGCAGAGCCTATTGGGGGCTATAGGGGCTCAGCCCCATAGGGGAAGCTGCCTATAGAAGAAGGCAGCTATTGGGGGCTATAGGGCCTATGGGGGCTATAGGGGCTATGGGGCCCTATAGGGGAAGGAGTAAACCCTATAGGGAGGGGGTCTATATTGGGGGGGGGTAAGGTATAGGAAAACCCTATAGGAGAGCGATAGAGGGGGGGGGCTATAGGGAATGGGGAGCTATAGGGGTTGGGACCCTATAGCTGCCCCATAGGGGAAGGGAATGGGCGGGGGATGCTGCAGCTCTATAGGGGAAAGGGGAGGGCCATAGGGATGGAGATGCTATAGGGTGGAAGAGCTATAGGGGAAGGGGGCCTATAAGGTTGGGGGGGGGACAGGAGAAGGGAGCTATGGGGTGGAGCTATAGGGGATGGGGGGGGGGCTATAGGGGATGGGGGGGGCTATATGGGGCGGAGGAGGTCTATGGGGGGGGCCTATGGGGTGTGGGGCTATGGGGTGGGGGGAAGGGAGGCCCTGAGGGATCCCCTATGGGTGCCCTATGGGTGCCCTATGGGTGCCCTATGGGTGCCCTATAGGAGCCCCTATAGATCCCGCTATAGCATCCCCAAGGCGGCAAAGCCCCGCCCCCTCCCGCGCTCTCACTTCCGGCCCCGCCCCCTCCCCACCCATTGAAGACCGTGGCGGGGGGGGGGAGGCGGGGCCAAGCGGGTGACGTCAGCGGCCGCCCCGCCCGCGGCTCTGCAGAGGCAAAGGGGCGGGGCCAAGAGGGGTGGGGCCGGTGACGTCGTCGCCTCCCATTGGACGCGCCGGGGTCGCGTCATTTGCAGGGTGGTTATTTGGGGGGGGGGGATGGGGGGGGGGAATGGGGGGAGGGGGGGGTCCCGCGACGTCATCGGCAGCATCAGTCCTCTGGTGGGGGAGGGGCAGGGGGTTAAGGGGGGGAGGGGGGGCCATGAGACCCCCCCCCACCAATAGGGGACACTGCAGTCAGCCCCTCCCCCACATAGGGAACCCTGCACCCTGCCCCACCCCCCCACATATGAGCCCACCCCATCCCCCCCCCACAGAGACCCCTCCACCCCATAGGGGACCCCAGCCCCTCCCCCCCCCCCATAGGGGACTCCTCCCCCCATAGGTGACCCCTGCCCCTCCCCCCCCATAGTTGACCCCAGCCCCTCCCTCCCCCCATAGGTGACCCCAGCCCCTCCCCCACCCATAGATGACCCCAGCCCCTCCCCCACCCATAGGTGACCCCAGCCCCTGCCCCCCCATATGAGACCCCTCCCCCCCAATAGGGGACCCCTTCCCCCCCCCCGAGGTGACCCCAGCCCCTCCCCCCCCATAGTTGACCCCAGCCCCTCCCCCCCCATAGTTGACCCCCGCCCCTCCCCCCGCTGCTGACCGTGGGGGGCGGGGCAGGGCCGCACGTGCAGGCAGGGCCGCCCCTCCTCCACCCGCAGGCGCTCCCCGTCCAGGGGGGGGCAGCGCGGCCGCGGCGCCCCCCAGAAGGTGACGTTGACGGGGGTGGGGGAGCCCAGCGGGGTCACGGCCGGCCTGGGGGGGGGGGGGCAGCCTGGTGACCCATAGGGACCCATAGGGACCCATTGACACCATAGGGACCCATAGGGACCCATTGACACCATAGGGACCCATAGGGACCATAGGGACCCATAGGGACCCATAGGGACCCATAGGGACCCACTGACACCATAGGGACCCATAGGGACCCATTGACACCATAGGGACCCATAGGGACCCATAGACACCATAGGGACCCATAGGGACCCATAGGGACCCATTGACACCATAGGGACCCATAGGGACCATAGGGACCCATTGACACCATAGGGACCCATAGGGACCCCATAGGGACCCATTGACACTATAGGGACCCATAGGCACCATAGGGACCCATAGACACCATAGGGACCCATAGGGAATGATAGGGACCCATTGACACCATAGAGACCCATAGAGACCCCATAGAGCCCCCACTGACCCCATAGAGCCCCCATTGACCCTATGGAGACCCCATTGAACCCATAGAATCACCATTGACCCCATAGAGCCCCCATTGACCCCATAGAACCCCCCCACCCCATTGACCCTATAGAGACCCCATTGACCCCATCGAGACCCATTGACCCTATGGAGACCCCACTGATCCCATAGACCCCATAGAACCCTCATTGACCCTATAGAGACCCCATTGAACCCATAGAATCACCATTGACCCCATAGAGCCCCCATTGACACCATAGAGCCCCCATTGACCCCATAGAACCCCCCCATCCCATTGACCCTATAGAGACCCCATTGACCCCATAGAGCCCCCATTGACCCTATGGAGACCCCACTGATCCCATAGACCCCATAGAACCCTCATTGACCCTATAGAGACCCCATTGAACCCATAGAATCACCATTGACCCCATAGAGCCCCCATTGACCCCATAGAACCCCCCCGCCCCATTGACCCTATAGAGACCCCATTGACCCCATCGAGACCCATTGACCCCATAGAGCCCTCATTGACCCCATAGAGCCCCCATTGACCCCATAGAACCCCCCCGCCCCATTGACCCTATAGAGACCCCATTGACCCCATCGAGACCCATTGACCCCATAGAGCCCCCATTGACCCCATAGAGCCCCCATTGACCCCATAGAACCCCCCCTCCCCATTGACCCTATAGAGACCCCATTGACCCCATCGAGACCCATTGACCCCATAGAGCCCCCATTGACCCCATAGAGCCCCCATTGACCCCATAGAACCCCCCCTCCCCATTGACCCTATAGCCTCCCCAGCTCCCCTACGCACGGATAGGGGGGAAACGTGGGCAGGCATTCCCGGCTCCGCTTCCGTGTGGGGCTGGCCCCACATGGGGGGGTGCAGAGGCCCCACGGGCTCCAGTCTGACCAGTTCCCGGGTACTGGGGGGGCACAGGGCAGCTATAGGGCAGCTATAGGGCAGCTATAGGGTTCCATAGGGTAGCTATAGGGCAGCTATAGGGCAGCTATAGGGTTTCATAGGGTAGCTCTGGGACGCCCTAGGGTGGTGTGGGGCAGCCATGGGTGCTATAGGGCGCTTAGGAAGGGCTGTGGGGTTGCCTCAGGAAGCTATAGGGCAGCTATAGGGCAGCTATAGGGTTTCATAGGGTAGCTATAGGGCAGCTATAGGGTGGTGTGGGGCAGCTATGGGTGCTATAGGGTGGTGTGGGGCAGCTATGGGTGCTATAGGGTGGTTAGGGACGGCTGTGGGGTTGCTTTAGGAAGCTATAGGGCAGCAATAGGGCAGCAATACAGCTCCATAGAGTAGCTATAGGGTGGTGTGGGGCAGCCATGGGTGCTATAGGGCGCTTAGGAAGGGCTGTGGGGTTGCCTTAGGAAGCTATAGGGCAGCAATAGGGCAGCTATAGGGCTCCATAGGGTAGCTATAGGGCAGTTATAGGGTGGTGTGGGGCAGCTATGGGTGCTATAGGGTGGTTAGGGAGGGCTGTGGGGTCGCCTTAGGAAGCTATAGGGCAGCTATAGGGCAGCTATAGGGTGGTGTGGGGCAGCTCTGGGGGCTCTAGGGCAGCTATAGGGTGGTGTGGGGCAGCTCTGGGGGCTCTAGGGCAGCTATAGGGTGGTGTGGGGCAGCTATGGGCGCTCTAGGGCAGCTATAGGGTGGTGTGGGGCAGCTCTGGGGGCTATAGGGCAGCTATAGGGTGGTGTGGGGCAGCTATAGGGCAGCTATAGGGTGGTGTGGGGCAGCTATGGAGGCTCTAGGGCAGCTATAGGGTGGTGTGGGGCAGCTATGGGTGCTATAGGGTGGCTAGGGACGGCTGTGGGGTCGCCTTAGGAAGCTATAGGGCAGCTATAGGGCAGCTATAGGGTGGTGTGGGGCAGCTATGGGGGCTCTAGGGCAGCTATAGGGTGGTGTGGGGCAGCTATGGGTGCTATAGGGTGGCTAGGGACGGCTGTGGGGTCGCCTTAGGAAGCTATAGGGCAGCTATAGGGCAGCTATAGGGTGGTGTGGGGCAGCTATGGGGGCTCTAGGGCAGCTATAGGGTGGTGTGGGGCAGCTCTGGGGGCTCTAGGGCAGCTATAGGGTGGTGTGGGGCAGCTATGGGTGCTATAGGGTGGTTAGGGAGGGCTGTGGGGTCGCCTTAGGAAGCTCTAGGGCAGCTATAGAGTGGTGTGGGGCAGCTCTGGGGGCTCTAGGGCAGCTATAGGGTGGTGTGGGGCAGCTATGGGTGCTATAGGGCAGCTATAGAGTGGTGTGGGGCAGCTATGGGTGCTCTAGGGCAGCTATAGGGTGGTGTGGGGCAGCTCTGGGGGCTATAGGGCAGCTATAGGGTGGTGTGGGGCAGCTATGGGGGCTATAGGGCAGCTATAGAGTGGTGTGGGGCAGCTCTTGGTGCTCTAGGGCAGCTATAGGGTGGTGTGGGGCAGCTATGGGGGCTATAGGGCAGCTATAGGGTGGTGTGGGGCAGCTATGGGTGCTATAGGGCGGTTAGGGAGGGCTGTGGGGTCGCCTTAGGAAGCTATAGGGCAGCTATAGGGCAGCTATAGGGTTTCATAGGGTAGCTATAGGGCAGCTATAGGGTGGTGTGGGGCAGCTATGGGTGCTATAGGGTGGTGTGGGGCAGCTATGGGTGCTATAGGGTGGTTAGGGACGGCTGTGGGGTTGCTTTAGGAAGCTATAGGGCAGCTATAGGGCTCCATAGGGTAGCTATAGGGTGGTGTGGGGCAGCCATGGGTGCTATAGGGCGCTTAGGAAGGGCTGTGGGGTTGCCTTAGGAAGCTATAGGGCAGCTATAGGGCTCCATAGGGTAGCTATAGGGCAGCTATAGGGTGGTGTGGGGCAGCTATGGGTGCTATAGGGTGGTTAGGGAGGGCTGTGGGGTCGCCTTAGGAAGCTATAGAGCAGCTATAGGGCAGCTATAGGGTGGTGTGGGGCAGCTCTGGGGGCTATAGGGCAGCTATAGGGTGGTGTGGGGCAGCTATGGGCGCTCTAGGGCAGCTATAGGGTGGTGTGGGGCAGCTCTGGGGGCTCTAGGGCAGCTATAGGGTGGTGTGGGGCAGCTATGGGTGCTATAGGGTGGTGTGGGGCAGCTATGGGTGCTATAGGGTGGTTAGGGACGGCTGTGGGGTCGCCTTAGGAAGCTATAGGGCATCTATAGGGCAGCTATAGGGTGGTGTGGGGCAGCTATGGGTGCTATAGGGTGGTTAGGGAGGGCTGTGGGGTCGCCTTAGGAAGCTATAGGGCAGCTATAGGGTGGTGTGGGGCAGCTCTGGGGGCTTTAGGGCAGCTATAGGGTGGTGTGGGGCAGCTATGGGGGCTCTAGGGCAGCTATAGGGTGGTGTGGGGCAGCTCTGGGGGCTATAGGGTGGTTAGGGAGGGCTGTGGGGTCGCCTTAGGAAGCTATAGGGCAGCTATAGGGTGGTGTGGGGCAGCTCTGGGGGCTCTAGGGCAGCTATAGGGTGGTGTGGGGCAGCTATAGGGCAGCTATAGGGTGGTGTGGGGCAGCTATAGGGCAGCTATAGGGTGGTGTGGGGCAGCTCTGGGGGCTCTAGGGCAGCTATAGGGTGGTGTGGGGCAGCTATAGGGCAGCTATAGGGTGGTGTGGGGCAGCCCTGGGGGCTCTAGGGCAGCTATAGGGTGGTGTGGGGCAGCTCTGGGGGCTATAGGTCAGCTATAGGGTGGTGTGGGGCAGCTCTGGGGGCTCTAGGGCAGCTATAGGGTGGTGTGGGGCAGCTATGGGGGCTCTAGGGCAGCTATAGGGCGGTGTGGGGCAGCTCTGGGGGCTATAGGGCAGCTATAGGGTGGTGTGGGTCAGCTATGGGGGCTCTGGGGCAGCTATAGGGTGGTGTGGGGCAGCTCTGGGGGCTCTAGGGCAGCTATAGGGTGGTGTGGGGCAGCTATAGGGCAGCTATAGGGTGGTGTGGGGCAGCTCTGGGGGCTCTAGGGCAGCTATAGGGTGGTGTGGGGCAGCTATAGGGCGCTATAAGGCAGTCACTCACGCAGGCACTGGTGGACGTTGTAGCAGGCCCGGAGCTGGATGGTGCCGATCCCTTCCTCTATGGGGCAGGGGGGGCCCCCAGCCTTGAGCCCCACACATTGCCGCGTCCGCCGCTGCCGCCCCACCATGGCCTCGCAGCTCACGGTGCCCCACGGCCGCTGCTCGCAGGGGGTCCACGCGCCCCATGGCCCCCAGTGCTGCACCTCTATGGGGAGGGGGGATGACAGCATCAGGCACCCCATAACCCCCCCCATAGACCCACACTTGGGGGGCACCGTTATGGAGTGGGTGCCCCATAGGGCCCTATAGTGAAGGGGGTGCTATATGGGTGCCCCATGGCTCCCTATGGGGGGGGACACAACATCAGGCACCCCATAAACCACCCCCCCCATAGACCCACACTTGGGGGGCACCATCGTGGGGTGGGTGCCCCATAGGGCTCTAAACTGAAGGGGGTGCTATATGGGTGCCCCATGGCGCCCTATGGGGGGGACACAACATCAGGCACCCCATAAACCACTCCCCCCCATAGACCCACACTTGGGGGCACCGTTATGGGGTGGGTGCCCCATAGGGCTCTATAGTGAAGGGGGTGCTATATGAGTGCCCCATGGCCCCCTATGGGGGGGACACAACATCAGGCACCCCATAAACCACTCCCCCCCATAGACCCACACTTGGGGGCACCGTTATGGGGTGGGTGCCCCATAGGGCTCTATAGTGAAGGGGGTGCTATATGGGTGCCCCATGGCTCCCTATGGGGGGGGGGGGGGACAACATCAGGCACCCGATAACCCCCCCCATAGACACACACTTGGGGGGCACCGTTATGGAGTGGGTGCCCCATAGGGCTCTATAGTGAAGGGGGTGCTATATGGGTGCCCCATGGCTCCCTATGGGGGGGGATGACAGCATCAGGCACCCCATAACCCCCCCCATAGACCCACACTTGGGGGGCACCATTATGGGGTGGGTGCCCCATAGGGCTCTATAGTGAAGCGATTGCTCTATGGGTGCCCCATAGGGCCCTATAGGGAAGCGATTGCTCTATGGGTGCCCCATAGGGCCCTATAGGGAAGCGGTTGCTCTATGGGTGCCCCATAGCCGCCATCTATGGGTGCCCCATAGGGCCCTATAGGGAAGGGGTTGCTCTATGGGTGCCCCATAGGGCCCTATAGGGAAGCGATTGCTCTATGGGTGCCCCATAGTGCCCTATAGGGAAGGGGTCGCTCTATGGGTGCCCCATAGCAGCCATCTATGGGTGCCCCATAGGGCCCTATAGGGAAGGGGTTGCTCTATGGGTGCCCCATAGGGCCCTATAGGGAAGGGGTTGCTCTATGGGTGCCCCATAGCAGCCATCTATGGGTGCCCCATCGGGCCCTATAGTGAAGCGGTTGCTCTATGGGTGCCCCATAGCAGCCATCTATGGGTGCCCCATAGGGCCCTATAGGGAAGGGGTTGCTCTATGGGTGCCCCATAGCAGCCATCTATGGGTGCCCCATAGGGCCCTATAGGGAAGGGGTTACTCTATGGGTGCCCCATAGGGCCCTATAGAGAAGGGGTTACTCTATGGGTGCCCCATAGTGCCCTATAGGGAAGGGGTTGCTCTATGGGTGCCCCATAGCAGCCATCTATAGGCCCCATTATGGGGCTTAGGGAACGCTCCCCCCTCCCCGCGCCAAGCCCCTAGCGCCGCTCAGGCCCCGCCCCCTTTGCCTTGGCCCCGCCCCCTTTGCCTTGGCCCCGCCCCTCCCCGGCTCACCAGGACACGCCCCGTGGGGCCCGCAGAGCGCGCGCCGGGTGCCGTTGCCTTGGCAACCGCGGCCTCCGTGCCGAGGGGGCGGGGCGTCGCAGGCGCGCCGCAGCGTGACCACGCCCAGTCCGCACGTCACCGAGCAGGGCACCGCCTCCGACCACGCCCCCCAGGCGCCGTCCTCTATGGAGGGGAGAGGAAGGGGGCGGAGTCAGGAAGGGGGCCAGGGTGTGGCCACGCCCCCCTCGTCACAAGCTCCGCCCCCTCACCGGGGCACGGCCGCAGTCCCGGGCACGGCTCGCTCTCGCTGTCTGCGCCTGCGCAGGGGGCTCCCGGCGGCTCCTTTGATGGCGGCGGCCAATCACAGCGGCGCTGGCGGCTCCGGCCCGGGCTCGGCCCCGCCCCCCGGCACGAGC